TAAAACTTTGAGTAAAATATATGAAACTTTATATAAGTACTCAAATAACATCACTATTACAATTACCATAATTCACCACATTTATTTAATTACTAAAGTATTATTGCTAATTTTGTTACTTAAATACAATTATAATCTTGCTAAGCTTATTATTCTCTTATGCATACATTTATTTTTTCATTATCATACATAATTAAATAAACGTGGATAAGATAAATAACTAAATTTTGTTGTAAGATTCTTTTAATAATTAAATAAAATTATCTTGAGATTAATTAGTTAGAGCATAAGAAGCCTATTATCAACTAGGATTGATTAAAGTTTATTGACATAAAGTTAATTAGATTTGACTAGCTTAGTTAAAAAAAATTAATAATATAAAGTCATGAAAATACCCTTAAAGGAAATGCAAGACATTAGATAAATTATACGACCATAAACAATAACTGTTGAGTGCATGATGAATAATTGATTAAACAAAATCAAGCTCACATGAAAATATATATGAACTATAAAGTTTATACGGTTATATCAAACCACAATTAACAAACAAAGCTAAAAAAGCCTCCATAATCAATTTAAACACCCTAGTGTAGGCTTGATTACGAGGAATCAACATAGAAGTAGATAATTTAATTTATTTGTAACATGAGAACTCTTTAAACTCATGAATTTGCTTTATAGGAGTAGTAATAAAGAAATTGCAGCAAACAATGAGAGTTTTCGATAATAAACCAGACTCGGCACACTTTTAAAACATTATTCTTCTTTAATGCATCCTCGGATCATTTTGATCAATGTATTATAGGTTTATCAAGCGTGACTATTTAGATATAAAAATATAGGATTGGAAACTAGACTTGAAATCTAAAGCATTTATTACATTAGATTGCTTCTCATAAACTAATTTACCACTTCAAAAATTAAATCCAAAATTCTATGATCCAATAATCGAAAGAGTACATAAAATTATTCTTCAAGTCAAGATTAAAGGAGTATAAAAACCTTACTAATTCAAATTTGTCTCATTCTCTTTAAGGTAGTCTTTCTTAGTAGACTGAAACAAATGGATGAGATTTCCATGGATTCATTAAGTTACCTCTTGTTATGCATGATTGAGATACACCAGCTAGTGCTTAGTTTAACACAAGATAAATTTCTTAATTATGCGACCAATGTCTAGTGTTCCAAAATGCAATGAATTCGAATTTCGACTATAGACTTATTTGGAGATATAATTTTGGTAAGAGTTGTCGAAACCCTCCAAAATCATTACTGATTTTACTAAATCTAACTTGTAGAAGTAGTGAGACTAGGTCGAATCTCAACGGAACCAATGAAATTAATTTCTCAAAATTTAAAAATTGGATGGTTTTGAATTTAAATAGATGTTTAAGGAAAACGAACGTTAATCTAACCAAACTTCCAATCCAAAGGTGTGATTTTCATCCCATTGTAATCTTGATCATATGCTTTACACAAAATTGTTTTCTTGATTCAAGAACTTAGTCTACTTACCCGAAACAGCTGGAATAAGTTTTAATTCTCCTAATTTAATTAATTTAGACCGAACATCAAAATTAGATCTTATTAATTAATCAACTGGGCACAACAGCGTTCTATATTGATCAAAGAATAGCATTAAAGATAATGAGAATGACTAAACCAAAATCAATTAATTTGAGATAGGTGCAAGTTAATTAATTTTGTCACTTTGTTTCCGTAGAGTCTACTATGCAAGCTATGTAAACATGGAAAAGCCATAAATACACACACATAAGTCAACTCCTTGCTACTTATTTCAATCGTTCATGATCACAAACTTATGGATAGCAGTAAAACAATTAATATGAATTAAGGTGTCAATTTAATTAATATAATCTGATCATAAATAATAAGAACAAGAAACAAATAATACTTAAAAAATAAAAAATCTCTATCTAACTTGAGTCTCCCAAGCTTACAATCACATTTAAATTACCCTTGAACTGGAAAAATTAAAGTTAGACACTCATGTTAGTGAGGGAATTTGTATTCAGGAGAAGAGAGCTTTTCGTTGGGACTTGAATGATGAATCTTCCAATAGGCTCCTCTATTAGGGGTTAACTTTATCGATGAATTATCTCTAATAAAGAATTCCTAACTAATTAATTGAGAATTCCTAACTAATTGGGAAGATCCTATTTAAAAGAAAACAAATTAAATAAAAGAGTTAATCATCAATTAAGGATTATGTTTCTACTCAATTTAGGATTATGTTTCTACTTTGATTATATCTCTTTATTTACAAAATATCATAAAAATTCATAATTCTCAAATTGAATTGTCCAGTCATAATAACTGTGTCTGTATTTTATCCGTTGAGCTCTCCTCAATTTGATGAAGTTCGCATTATTCTCTAAAATTGTGTTTTTAAATTATTATTCTTTAATATCTTCAATCTGCCACAAAATGATAAATTATAATTAAATTCAAATATTTAAACTTAATAAATTAATAAAATGTAAAATAAATATATAAAATATGGGTGTATTTTTCATCTTATCAAATTCTCCTATACCTAATTCATGCTTGTCCTCAAGCATATCTTAACTCGACATACCAACTCCCCTCCCTACTCCTTTTTATATTTTTTTTATCTAAAATACCGTAAAGTTAATCACACATCAATGAGATGAATCACAATGCAAGTGAATAATCATTGATAAGTTATAATTTATAAAAACTCAAGTATCTCATTAACTCATTAAAATTAAAATACAAAAGATTTAACACCCTTACGGAGTTTCACTCAATTCTCTCCACTTAAAGCTACAAGCTTGTATTCTCTTCTCACATCTTCTTCATTACTAAGAATCTTGGAGAAGTAGCATTAATTGATTGTTTCTTGGAAAATATTGCTCCAAAGGATCTAGAAGAACCAAAAGACTAGGATAGTCCCCTATATTAAAAATCATATTGAAAGAATTTTTAAAACTTCTATGACAAAAATACTATATCAGTGACAAGCATATGAAATCAGTGACCAAAATTCTTCAAACTGCAGTGACGAGCATATTTTGAAACCTACCTAATCAATTTAAAAACCTACAAAATTCTTCAAATACATAGGAAATTTTAAAACCTATATATGAACAATGGAGCATATTTTAAAACTTACAAAATTCTTCAAACTGCAGTCTCCTATTTTTAAAACCCCAAAAGTACTACCCATATCAGAAACTATATCAACTATAGAGCACTTTAAAGTCGGAAATCGAACACACATAAAATCGAATACTTTTTAAACACCACATACTTGAACACCCAAAATCGAGAACTTTTTAAATACACCAAATTCGAACACCCAAAATCTGAAATCAGAAACAAACCTGAAGTTTTAAATCGCAGAATCTTGAAAACGGGCTGGCGGAGACAAGCAAATCTAAAACGGGACGAAGGAGGCTACTGGCAACGATAAATGTAGAAACGAAGAAAACAGAGTGATGCCCTGCCAGAAAAAGGGTGAGAAGCGAGAGGTTTTTTGGGTAGGTTTTTTCAAATGAAGAAGACGAAAAGACAATGGTGAGAAGTGACGGTAAATTTGGGTAGTTTTTTTAAGGAAAGTTAAAAGTTGCACAAAATTATGGATTTAAAAGTTTGACCTCCCAAATCAACCCTTTTGACTTTCCATAATTTAATAATATTTAAGTGTATATAAAAAAGAATTCCATCTGACGGACGTTTATTTTAACACAAAAGTGTAAATTTTGTAGAATAAATCCCTTTATGTTAAATATAATCTCTAAAAGACCTATCAATGTACTAATCCCAAAGAATTTCTTGTAGTTAGTGGTCCACCAAGAAGCAACTTTTCCATCATCTATCGATTATTGACAATTTTATTAATAACAATAATTAAAATGACTACTTTTTAAAAGGGAAAAATGCATTTTTGATTCTTGAGGTTGAAATTGACGTCCATTTGATATGTGAGATTTCAAAATGGACACTTTTATCCTGAAGTTTGGAAAATGTTCAAAAATGGTAATTGAGCTTGTTTGACTGTTAATTGACTGGTAGAAAAATGACATGGCAACAAAATTTAAATTATGTGACAAAAAATTTAAATGATGTGGCAACTTATGTTAATGTTTTATTAAATTTTGCGCACATGAGTTTTTTTTCCCCTCCATGCCCCTACCTTTCTCTCTCATCCCTTCTACTTCTTTTCTTATTCTCATTCCCCGGCGGACTTCTACTTCCTATTTTCTTCTTCTCAAGCTCCGGCAAGGGAGACCTCCTAGACGCTGTCGATCTCCCAGTCTTCGCCGACCTTTCAGTCGTCACTGTGCCAACCGCCGTAGTGCTTCCTCTATTCACCGAAGCTCACCCTCCTCCAAGATCTAAAACATATCTCTTTTGGCAGATGCCGGATACCACCATCTTGTTCTCAGTCGTATCGTCCCGCCGTCTACATACCGTAGCCACACCATATCTTGAACAAACCGTTTCAGATCTCGAAGGAGGGAGAGCGACAGCGAAGGGAGGGAGTACTACGGCGGTTGGCGCGGCGGTGACTAGAGGTCGTTGGTGACTTGGAGGTTGGCGGTGTCCCTCGTCGGAGCTTGAGAAGAAGAAGAAAATAGAAAGGAGAAGGGCACCAGAGAATGAGAAGAAGAAAGAAGGAGAAGGGATGAGAGAGAAAGGTAGGGGCATGGAGGAAAAAAAAGGAAAGAAAAAAGCAGCCGCATCATTTAAATTTTTGGCCACATCATTTTGACGTACCTGTTGATTGGTTATTTTGGGATGAAAAAATCCGGGAAAAAAATGAACCCGACGTGAATCGAACACGCAACCTTCTGATCTGGAGTCAGACGCGCTACCATTGCGCCACGGATCCTCGTTGGGTCAGAAATCATAAACAATATGTTATATTCAGAAAAAAACGGGTTAGGGCTTCCAACGGACGGCTCGGGTTATTCTCGGTGTTCTTCACTCTGCTCGTCCTTATCCAAATTCAACTCAAATTTCGTTCAATTCCTTCATTTCCCGCCTCTTTTGATGGACCAAGCTCGGTCCTCGGGTATGGAAATGAACAGGGTTTTACTCGATTTTCAAGATGCCATTTCCACAATTCAATTCGCTCCCCATTCAAACAATCTCCTTGCTTCCTCCTGGGACTCTGTTAGCGATCATTTTGGTGTTGGAAATTTGTTCAACACTTGTGTCATTTCTTCTCCTTCACTTTGAATGAAGTTCTGGTTCTTTTGCGCAGAGTCTTCGCTTGTACGATGTGGATAGTTCTGCGCCCAGACTTGAAGCTCCCTCCGAAGCTGCGCTTCTGGATTGTTGCTTCCAGGACGAGTCGGTGGCATTCAGCGCTGGTTCTGATGGCTTCATAAGGAGGTTTGGGGGTTCGATGAACAAACTTTGACTGTTGAATTCTTCTGGGTCGATGTTACGAGATATCACATGCTTGCTTATCTTGAAAATGTGGTGCAGATTGAAATTTTTGGATGTTGAACTTACAAGACTATGCCATGTTTTAAAGCAATTATACCTGAATTGTACACTGGTTTTCTGCCCATTTAATTGGATAGGAAAGGCAAGTCTCTGAATTTGAATTTAAAAGTGAGGATTTAAAAAATGTTTAGGAAAGAGCTAAGTTCTTAATTAAAAATACTGTTTTTTCCCCTTTTGTCTCTTTCCAAACTAGATGGTCAAATTATGTGTAGGTTGATTTCCTAAGAGGATGCTTATTTGCATTATCCTACCTATTATTTATTTGTTTAATGTAAATAAATACATTGTATTATAACAAAAAGAGGAAAATAGAAAAATTACTAGTATTTTGGGTTATGTTACTTTATCCTGCAATAGTTTCTAAAAAAGTTATTATCGTTGCTGTTCATGACCTGCTTGAGTGTTAACTTAAAAAATTTCCATGTACTTCTTTTTACCTTTCCGTGCGGTGTGGCATAAAGATAAAAGTTCTGTTTTATGATAGCAGCATTATGTGATGGTTAATGGCTCTCAACAAAACTTTTCTAGGTATGACTTGCAATCAGGAATTTTGGATACCATTGGGAAGCATGATGATATTGCAACCCATATTGGATATTCTGGTCGAACATGTAAGCTACTTTACGACCTATTTTATTTTATTTTTTATTATTTTTGAGTTCAAGTTACTTTACCCCTTGATATAAGTATAACTTACATGGTTTATATACATATAAGTTACTTTTTGGTAGATTATTGAAAATGTCTGAAATTATATTTTGCTTTTAGCATGCATGTTAATTTCTGTATTATATTTTCCTTTAGAACTTGAACCTTGAGTCTCATTGAGCTATTCTCTTAAAAATTAGCAAACTTCATACTGGAACTATCATTATTCCATCTGTTCCTTTTCATTAATATGTAATTATAGACTATAGTTTTTTTTTTNCTCCGAAGCTGCGCTTCTGGATTGTTGCTTCCAGGACGAGTCGGTGGCATTCAGCGCTGGTTCTGATGGCTTCATAAGGAGGTTTGGGGGTTCGAAGAACAAACTTTGACTGTTGAATTCTTCTGGGTCGATGTTACGAGATATCACATGCTTGCTTATCTTGAAAATGTGGTGCAGATTGAAATTTTTGGGTGTTGTACTTACAAGACTATGCCATGTTTTAAAGCAATTATACCTGAATTGTACACTGGTTTTCTGGCCATTTAATTGGATAGGAAATGCAAGTCTCTGAATTTAAAAGTGAGGATTTCAAAGATGTTTAGGAAAGAGCTAAGTTCTTAATTAAAAATACTGTTTTTTCCCTTTTGTCTCTTTCCAAACTAGATGGTCAAATTATGTGTTGGTTGATTTCCTAAGAGGATGCTTATTTGTATTATCGTACCTATTATTTATTTGTTTATTGTAAATAAATACATTGTATTATAACAAAAAGAGGAAAATTGAAAAATTACTAGTATTTTGGGTTATGTTACTTTATCCTGCAATAGTTTCTAAAAAAGTTATTGTCGTTGCTGTTCATGACCTGCTTGAGTGTTAACTTAAAAAATTTCCATGTACTTCTTTTTACCTTCAAGTGCGGTGTGGCATTAAGATAAAAGTTCTGTTTTACGATAGCAGTATTATGTGATGGTTAATGGCTCTCAACAAAACTTTTCTAGGTATGACTTGCAATCAGGAATTTTTGATACCATTGGGAAGCATGATGATATTGCAACCCATATTGGATATTATGGTCGAACATGTAAGCTACTTTACGACCTATTACATATTAGTTACATTTTGGTAGGTTATTGAAAATGTCTGAAATTATATTTTGCTTTTAGCATGCATGTTAATTTCTGTATTATATTTTCCTTTAGAACTTGAACCTTGAGTCTCATTGAGCTATTCTCTTAAAAATTAGCAAACTTCATACTGGAACTATCATTATTCCATCTGTTCCTTTTCATTAATATGTAATTATAGACTATAGTTTTTTTTTTCATTAGGTTGGTTGATGCAAGGCATATGCAGAGCTTGTCATTTGTGTGCCATAAGCCAATGGTTTTCTTATAAATAATTTTCTTCCTCTCTTGCTATATTGGTGCTTGTAGATGTTGCTAGATTTTTGCATAAAATTCAACAGAACAGATCTGTGACATAAAAAGTTCCCAAATATTATGAGGAAAATGATAGTCTCTGTTCTGCTGCAAGAGTATTGACGATCATACAGCTTGTTATGTCCTTTAACTTGTATAATTTTTTTTTTTAACAAGAAACAATCTCTTTATTGAAATAATTCAAGAGATATTCAAGGAAACTAACTCAGAAAACACCAAGAAGCAAAAATAACAGCATCCGAGTAATTAGCAAAATGCTATTGTATAGGATCTTTTCTTATTATTATTTTTTTTGGAAGAGACATGTATTTCATTGATAAATGAAATGTACAAAGAGAGGAGAAAAACCCAAGCCAAGGAGCAGTGCTTTTTATAAAAGGAATAGCTATCGTATAGGATCTTTATTTACAAAAGCTTGCAAATGGCCTTTTCCTGCATTATGATTGTGATGGTTGCACATATAAATTCTTTGTGTTGTTCAGAAAAGTTTTGAGGTCCTTTCTTACTTTGGTACTGAACAGAATCTACTCTCTTTGACGACCTTACTTGAATAGGATCCGTTTTATAGGTTCTATCACTGTGTCCTTGCGTTCTAAAGAATCTGCTCTCTTTGTTTTTGTAGGCCAAATAGTATCAGCTGGTTTGGATAGAAAGATACTGTTGTGGGACACACCTACAGTAAAAGCTCTGTCAATTGTAAGAAATATGGGTTCAGATGTGGTGTCCATGTTTATCTCTGGATTTAATTTGATTGTGGCTTCTGGAGTGTGTGTATATTCATTCGAATTAACCTAGAGAAACTAATTCAACTGAAAGATTCTTGTATGAAAGTTGCAGTTGCTTGTGTTAGCTCAGTTCCTTATTGCGAAGGTAGGTTAAGATGATTGGCATGTTATAAAGACATTG